TCAAAAGGGAATAAGTGGAAAAAAGGGTAAATTATACATTTTAACAATTGCCTTGTTTCTTGCATCGCGAAAAACTCATATAAACATAGCAGTGAGTTGTAGAAGCAACGGAATAATAATAAAAATAAAAAGCTATTTTGTATTGTTTTTTTATCTCAGATTTACACACCGACAGATTTCTCGACTGTACACATACTTCTTATGGAATAAATCTTTTACCTCAACCATCTCTTCCAAATGTTGTTAGTTAACATAGTCCATTTTATTGTTTTCTTCTCTGCTGTTCTCTGTAAGCTATAACTTAGAAGAAGTCCTGACATGAGGAAGAACGTCTGCACTATAGCCGCACCGTTTATAAACACGTGGTAAGGTAGAAAGTGATATACCTGTAAAAGTTACATAGATTTTTTGTTTAAAAAAATGCGTATTTAATACCATTCTAGACAGCATTAACTAATTCGACTGAGTTGTTTGTAGCAAAAAATATTACATGCGACCAACACACTAAAATCAAAATGTCACGTATTTTTCTCTAAACTATTTCAGTACATTTATTTTATTTAATTCTTCGTCACACTGGAAACTATAGATAAGGGTAACTAGTCGTCAACATCAGAGACTAAAACGTTTCCATTATCATTCGAAGAGAATTTTGACGTAACAAACTTTGCAATGGTAAATATTATAGAAGCTATCGTTAGCTCATAAATAGCCAGGTCTTGATGCCTACAGGCGGGGGTCGCGGACGTAAGCGATAGCGTTCCCCTGGACCCGGCACCAAGGGTTTAGTGGGAATGCCCCATTATGGGGAGAGTCCCACATAACTACCGCGTCCCCCTAGGCGCAGAGTATGCGAAGATGCATTCCCCTCGGGCAAAAAAAAATAAAAGGTCTTGATGCCTACCCAAGTTAGGTAGGACTAGGTTGAATCTGTCATCCACAAAAAAAAACATTTCGGACTTCATACATAATATGGTGTTGGTGTTTGAATTTCTTAGCAGATATTTGCATTTTTAACTCTTAATTTTAAATTTACCTCTTCAATAAAATGTGGATTGGAGATTGCCATCGTGTAAGGTATAAAAAAATGTCCAGTCACAAGGAGTATCATAAGAACAGCTCTGGAATTCAAAGAAAAAAATAGAAAATTACTGAACATTATTATAATAAAAACCATTGTAACACGGTTGACCATTATACATCCTAAACGCAGATTACAAAAGCGCGTGCACACCTAAAACTAAACTATCGCACAACTGAGTAGTCTCGCTTTGATTCCCTTGAGCTTATGCGCTACTCGATTTTATTTGTAAATAAACAGTTGAATTGGCTGCGAAACAATCGACAATCGCACAACAGTTGTGCGATAGTTTAGTCAAAGGTGTGCCCATTTTAAACATCACTTAAAATCTGTATGACGTTATTTATTGGAATTAGAAGTTTAAGTGTGGCCTTATTCTTTAAAACACTACAATGTCGTTTCAGTAATCGTCCATTAGAATATCGAAAAATAACAGAATTAGATAGCGAATTAAAAAGATGCATTGCTATAATAAATGCTATTGCATTTATGTAACGTGAAATATTAAATTTTCGTGCTTATCTTATACATAATTATGCATTAAATTTGCATATCTTTCCGGATAAGCAAGTAAGCAGTTACTTGAGCGATTGCTCAGCAAAATTCTTATGATACATCGGATACAAACGGAACATTAGAAATATTTCTATGTTATGTTTAAAATAATTATACAATACTAGTTGTTCCTCCTGACTTCTTCCGCGCCGTTATAAACCTACATACAAAAAAAACTAAACCAAAAAATCCGTATCCCTCGGGAACCTGATATTTATCAGGGATGAACCGTAATCCATGAGTTACTCCAGACTTTGTTTTATATTTGTACCTCAATAAGAAATGTTTGCTAAATTAACGAGTTACATTTTTGCCAAATTTCATCGAGATCCGTTCAGCCGTTTAGAGCAGAAAGATTTAACCATTCGCATTTATAATATTAGTAAGATTATTGGCTTACCTCACGCCGTCCAAGCCCTTAAGTCTGTCTAAGGGAGCTCTTGATCTATAGTCGGCTTGAAACAACTTCGGCCAGTTGCGTAGCAACGAAAATGCTACGATCATATTCACAGCTAAAACAAAGTATACAAAATATCCCTTGTTAAAACAATTTAAAATACTAATCATATAAGTTCACGAGCTGTTGCCCGCAAAGTTTATTAGCGCGGATTTAAAAAAAAATATTCCCGTCCAAGTCAGCTACCCTCCATTAAAAGTCCCTTCAAAATCAGGCCAACCGTTTCTGAGATCACCCGTAACACACGAGGCTTGCGGAAAGACAGACAAAATAAATTAATGCGATTGTCGTTATCAACAACGCAAATACATTATTTTTTGAAATACGGACTTTTTTTCGTTATTACACACAAACCAATTTTCTACGACTTTCTATATTCCTTTTCACTCTCATTCCCTTAAATCGTTTTTTTTTCTTTTCTACATTCTGTCTTAGTATATTCTCTACAGCCAATATCATACAACATTGTGTTAACGTTCGACACATCTAACCTCTGTCTGCGACAAGAAGGATGATGTAATGATGTCAATACAGGCCACTAAGAATTATTACACTTTTAATTCAAGAAAAAAATGAATGAAAAAAAAATGACAATCGCGCGGGAATAGAAACACATTAATTACGCAATATAAAAATATGGTTTTAGTGAATTAATATTTTACATAATTAATTTTACGATTGAAAATTATTATAATTAAATACATTTTTAGCAGCCATGGCACAATTTAAAGACGTAAAGATGATACCGCGTATAGTTCTTAGTGGTTGAGAATTTTTCACAACTAAAAATTAGCTAAACCGTTTTATTATTGGTGTTAAGTTGGATAATTACTTTTCAATATCAAAGTGGTGCGAATAATTAACTTACTACTATTATATGAAAAACCTTTAAGCTGTGAACAAGCCATAGATGTGGTAAGTACAGTTACAACACTAGATATTTCAAACTTATTTTGTATGGCGCATATACATTTTTAAATGTATATGTTGTAATGCGCAGTCTACTTGGCCAATACGGTTGGTCAGTAGCGACACTGGACTGCGATTCAACTGGCACAATGTGAATGACCGGGCATATTGGAATACATTATAACTTTTAACTCCTTATTCTATTTATATACTAATTCTATGAGTAGCGGCCCTATTTCGACAAATTCCTTTACCATCCTATAAAAATACTGGTACTAAAATTATTAATGAGAAAATTTGTATGCATGTTTGTTCTCGGAAAACGGATGTCGATGAAATCTACAGAGGTAGAAAATTGTCGTGCGGACGAATTCGCTGACAATAGTTAGTTTAAATTTAAATCAATCAAGTCTTTGATAATAGCGAGTCTTTTAAACAGATTTTGTGTTATTTTAAATTTTACAGTAACCACGATGTTTATTCCATAAACGTTGCCTTATGCAATTCTAAGAAACATTGTATTTTATAACATCATTAAATAAGTTCATTACTATATATATTAAGAGTAATTATAATTGTAACGTAGCTGGCAATTAACCTTTGGTATAATAAAACAAAAATAACAAAGTGTGCAATGCAACCGTCACGGCAACAGTTGTTATGCGAAATATCAAAAAAATCCCTTATCGTTGAGAAACATCAATTCAAAGGTGTTTAAACTTTTTTTAGTTATAAATTTATTATTTTAAAGATTATATTACATTTTTATGTGATAACAAACAATGACGTCAGACTTTATTGCTTTACATTTGGCCACTACAGTTTGACACAAACGTAGGCATGTACTATCGGCTCTTTGGCGCTAATTACTGTTTACATGTGAAATTTAAATACAGTGTGTACGAGGCATAAATGACTTGTCGCTATTCATATGTGCAATGACTCGCAGTTTATCAGAATTGTTGAATTGAAAAAATACCTAACAATTTTTTGAACCTTCTTAACAATAGATTAAGGTTTGGTATTGCATCAATTGAATTTCAACCAAATAGATTAATGATAGTTAAAATTGTTACCGCGGATGAGCAAATTGTTACGTCATATAGTACTAAATTCGATAGATTATATAGAATCAACATACTAAGGGCGCGCGCAAAGCTTTGACTAAAATATCGCACAACTGTGTAGTCTCTCTATGATTCATATGAGCTTATATGGAGGTGCGCACACTACTCGATTTTTACTTGTGCAAATAAGCAGTTGAATTGGCTGTGAAACAATCGACAATCGCACCACAGTTGTGCGATAGTTTAGTAAAAGTGCGCCCGCGCGTAACATAAGTAACAGTTTTTTCAGATTGTAATACTTTTAATCTGAAACCTCGTCGGCCAGTGTTCGTTTAGTATGAGTTTAAAAAAAAATGTTATGGTCACTGACATCTTATCAATTTTTAACCTCTTCAGCTGAGCAAAAACTGAGAAATACAATACGGAAAAATAAACTAACTATGTGAAATACATCCTCATGTAATTACGAAAATTATTTATGTTGTAAGTCGTATAAAAACCACGTCTTTGTAAAATGTACTCATGATCTGCAATAAATTCCCTCGCCCGTCATATGATAATGACCAAATGTCCACGAAAATTGAGATTTATTTTTAAATGTTTCCGCAAGTAAATACAAATGTTTAGTCTGTGTATTTTTAAATAAAGTAAATTTCGCTTGTTATAAAGAGGACTTTATTTTGCACCAATCGAAACGCGTAAACATTTTACTGTAAAAAATTTAGTTAGAATTTTTTTAGTTAAAAACGTATTTTGACTCTGACCGACGGCGACGCTTTATATTATAGAAGTCTAGGTAGTAAGTACACACTTAATATACTGCTTGGCCCTATACTCATTTATTCATATTGCTTGGTTGTTTACTTAAATATAGTATTTTACCGACATATATGGAGCTTTAGTTGTGCAACTAAACAGTTGTGAATCAATCGACAAATTCTTATCTCTGTTTTGTCACTATGAATACCTAATTTCTTAAACAAATGAATACAGCCCTCCTATACAAAGTGACTTTCGATTAGATTTGTCGCTTGTAGTACCGACAAAATGTGTAGGAATAAATACGTGACAAGCACGTAACTTATCAAATGTTATTGTCAGTTCCATACATTTTAGACTTTTCGATGAGCCAGAGCGATAATCGAATGTTACTTTGTCTAATAGAGCTGAATACTTACCTTTACTCTTCGATTCCTTTGTAGCATAAACGTCATACAAAGTTCCAGCTACGTTTACAATTAATATAAACGTGCATAATATTGACACAAATATGTCCATGTAATCAAATTCTATTTTATAATCCGTAGAACGACAACTGGGAGAATTTAAAAGTTTAGCTTTCAGTCCATAATCTTTCCAAATAGATTTATTAACGCATGTTTCAAGAGCATCTGTTATATTTGTTGGGTTTTCATTATATTCACCACAAGATCTATTTATACAAACTCCGCGGTACAATTTTGTATGATCGTAATGTGTTATTTCCCATTCGGAGTAATTCTGAAAACAATGAGTGAGAAAAAAAATAATTTGTTTAAATATATACTTAAAATAATAAATAATGCCTAAAACACGCTTATTTATTATGTAGGATGTCAGCAATAATACTATATTTTTGAATAATTAATTTTTGAATTTTTTCTATATTAAAAGGTGGCAAACGAGTAAGCTGGATCCGCCGAAATGGCGAAGCGACCACTGCCCCTACAATTTAAGAAAATAAGGCATTCGTGAAATGTAAATAATGACGCCGCACGGAAACTGTTAGATAGGATAAAATTTAATATGGGAAATCATGTCATTGACGCTTGTTTTTAGCACGTCGTAAGAAAAGGTAAGCTTGTTTCTCTAATACCAAATCAATTGCCTGATATTTTACTAGATAAATGTAATTGTATGATTTAAATCATAATAGTTATCCTTACCGCAATCAGTTTATAAAGTTCATTCGAAGTATCAGATATTAATCTGAATTGTGATGTACAATACAGTGCGTTGGCATCGTTGAAACAATTTTCATGATTATCAAGATGAATTAATGGCGGCAAACGTTCATAATCAGCATCTATAGAAACAGCACAATAAAAGTACATTATATTTTAATTTTAACACTTATTAAGATTAAGTGTAAAACTTTCGGGGAATAGGGATGTCAAAGGTTCGTCGTTCATTCCATTCATTGTAGATCAAAGAACGCAAATATTTTGTTTAATATTGTTTACACCACTGACAAAGAGGGTTTTTCGCGCCTATGTAGGTTTTTTTATATATGTAGGCTTGTATGTTTGTATATTTTAATGTAACAGTCCACAGCCTAAACTAAACTACTGAACAGACTGACGAATGTTATGTCATCCAATGATTCTGTAAAGATGCAATAAAAATTTAAATTTCAAATTTGTGGAAAAACCGAGTTCGTATCTCACTCACCATAACTTTTTTTTATTTCATTCATCATTTTTTTACGATGTTTTTAAGTAATTCCAACTATTAGCTTTAGTCGAGTTTTATTTTAAATGAGATGTCGCCCGCAAACTTCGTTAGCGCAAATTTGAACTACCCGTTACGTCTTTTTGACAGCGGAATTAATAAAAAATCCTATCCATGTCTGCTACCCTCCAGTGAATGTCCCGTTTCGGAGATTGCCCGGAACAAACGCGGCTTCGGACAGACAGACAGATAGACAGACAGACAGACAGACAGATAGACAAAAAAAAATAAATTATTAATAATTTTCATTATCAGCAACACAAATACATCATCTTCCCGAAATCTAGCATTTTTCTTTTGATATTACAAACAGACACTCGAATTTTTATTAAATGTTGGGATATATAGATATTGATGTTTAATTAAAAAGCAAATATTTGGTACATACCATTAAGTCTATATATAACTCCAAAACTTTCATTTACAAGAAACATTAATATAATGAAACATTTTTCCATTTTTAACTTATTAATTTATGTTTGTCGCAAAATTCGCGTGACATAACTAAACTGTATGTTATTGGTGTAGTCGCACAATAAAGTCTGAAGCACTCCTTACTTGAATTAACTTTACATTGAAGGTCGTGTGAAAAATGCCGAGTGTCTTGTAAATCTGGTAAAATTTATGTCACCGGCACAAATAAATAACGCTCTTTTGTTATTTGACTAGACAATCTTAAAGACAATCCGCGTATGAAACGAATTCATCCGGTCTTCTTAAAATAACACCCCAAGGTGTAATACTTGTCCAATGAAAACTCTAACTTTTTAGATTTTAATAATCACGCCGAAAATTATTGTTGAATAAAATGTCGTTTTTACGGATTGCCGTAAATTTTCATTTCATTATAATAAACATATGATTGCCAGCAGACTGGATTGTAGATACGAGTATATCAAACACTGTATAAAGCTACACGTGGCAGGCGATAATTGTACATTTTAGAATAACATTTAAATGTACATATATGTGACTATCATAGGTATTAAGTTTTTTCTGTTACTAACAAACTATGAGCAAAAAAGAAATGTAGCTTGAAATAAAATTTATTATTATTATTATAATACCTAATAAAAACTATATTTCGAGAAAAATCTTACATCTCAAATCTACATTTTTGTAGTAATAATCCTTATTGCTTAGAGATAGTAAGTAAAATTAATTAGACCAATAATATTAGACAATTTACGATATTTTTTTTTTTTTATAGTAAAAAGGGGGCAAACGAGCGGCGTGTACACCTAGGTGGTCAACGACGCCCATGGACATCCGCAACACCAGAGGAACTACAGATGCGTTGCCGGCCTTTGAGGAAATGATAGGCTCGCTTCTTGAAGGACCCTAAGTCGTATTGGTTTGGAAATACCGCCGAGGACAGACCGTTCCACAACGCGGCTGTGCGGGGCAGAAAGTTCCGCGAAAACCGCACCGTTGTGGAATGCCAGCCATCGAGATGGTGAGGATGGTACCTGGCGGTCTGTCGCGTCGTCCGATGACGAAACTCGGCGGCAGGAATCGTTCCAAACAACTCCTCTGAACACTCCCCGTGGTAAATGCGGTAAAAGATGCAGAGGGAACTGACGTCCCTCCGCAAGGCCAGAGGATCTAGCCGATCGGTAAGAGCTCGGTCGTTGACGATTCGAGTCGCTCTCCGTTGTATGCGGTCAAATGGAAGAAGCTGGTATTGGGGTGCTCCCGCCCAAAGGTGCGAGCAGTACTCCATGTGGGGCCGAACTTGCGCCTTGTAAAGTAGTAGGCGGTGGCCCGGCTGGAAATACTGCTTCGCCCTACTGAGCACACCGAGCTTTTTGGAAGCCAGCTTGGCCTTGTCTTCCAGATGACCGCGAAACTGAACGTCACTCGATATGTCAACGCCGAGAATACCGATACTGGCTGAGGCAACCAGGGGAGTGTTCTCGAACCGGAGATTGACGACGAAGGGGTCTTTTTTAGCGGTAATGGCGCATACTTGTGTCTTTTTAGGATTGAAATCGACAAGATTTTGTCGACCCCAATCCGAGACTTCACCCAAGAGGGTCTCCAGCTCAGACACAAGTTTGTTCCGGTTCTCATCGGCAATGGCCCGAGAAACATTAGCGCGGGCCGTGTACAGTGCATCACCGGTGCTATCGTCTGCATAACAATGGATGCTGCGTATTCGCAGCATGTCATTGATATGCAGAAGAAACAGGGTGGGCGACAGTACACAGCCCTGTGGGACGCCAGCGTTAATTGGTTTCGGGTCAGAGCATGCACCGTCGACAACGACCTTAATGCTCCGACCCTCCAAAAAGCTGGAAATCCAGGCGCAGAGTTTCTCGGGCAGCCCGTAGGAAGGCAACTTCGAAAGAAGTGCTTTGTGCCACACCCGATCGAAGGCTTTGGCCACGTCCAAACTAACTGCCAGGGCCTCCCCCTTGCCTTCGATCGCCTCCGACCATCGATGCGTGAGGTACGCAAGAAGGTCACCAGCTGAGCGACGCTAACGGAAACCGTACTGGCGGTCACTGATCAGCTGGTGCTCTTCCAGGTACCTCATAAGTTGGCAGTTGATGGTGGCTTCCATGACTTTCGAAAACAAGGGGGTAATGGCAATCGGCCTGTAGTTGGACGGATATATATGGGTGTTGCAGTGCATGTTATTAGGTCGATGCACTATTACACTATTCCATCTGTAGATGCGAAAAATGTATGAATGATGTAAGATAAAACTCTAAGGCAAATTTTAAAACGTCGTTGTCACTATTTGCTGTGACATAAAATAAACAACTAGTTATGTTTAATTTGAAATTCTTCCTACAGTTAAGGTTATCCTTTTCATGTGCGTTTTGTCATATTCATTTTTTTTATTCATCCTGTGTTTGTTTGGCGGCAATTGTAAACATTTAAAAATATCGTTGAATTTTTATCTTCTGATCGAGGGACACGCTGAAGTCAGGAACATGAATGCAGACGACAAAAACTATAATTTCTTTGTCGCAAGAAAATCAGTTTTTTTTTTTGTAATTAGCATTTACAAGGTTAACATGTTTATGCAATACTAAGCGTTAAATAATAATAGCTATAAGGCTAAGTGAAGTTGAAATCTCCACAAGAAGCTGCAATAGCATAATATAAGTATAGTCGCGATGATCGCGGTGTTCCACTACAGGAAAAATTGTTTTGTTCATTGCAATAAGACATACTTCGCCTCTTACTACAAATAAATGATAAGATAGCAATAAGTGATGAAAACTAAGGGATTATAATAAAAAATTAACTAGCGATGTATCCGTAACCGACCTTTTTTTAGCAGATACATTTATAAGCTTTTGTATTGCGGAACAGATTCCGCCTCTCCTTTCAAAACGTTTAAACGATTGTAGATTTTGAAGTGGAACACCGCCAGTTTCCCCGAGTTTACCTAGTTGTCATAAACACGTTACCTTGTTATGTCCACTTCACGGGGAACTCCAGGTTATAATGAACTAGTAAAACAAACATCTTGGCATTACATTTTATTAATCATTTGTCATAATTCGTTACTGTACGGCTAAGAGATGTATGGAAGAACAGCACATAGAGTGCCGACCCTTCGTAAGAGCAAAAACAAGCTTATGATGATCATTTCATTACAATAAGGACTATTTTCGTTTGGCGTTCGTAACTTTTGTTGGGGTCTCCATACAAACGTGGACGATATGACTCACAGGACCGTCAATCAATAACCATACAACGACTCCGACAGCAAATGAAACAACTGTCATGCCTCCAGCCTGCAACTACAAAACATAACATTTAATTTCGCTGTGCCATCGAATGACTGCGTGCAGGACAAACCAAATACACCAAAAAAAAAACAATATTACCATAGTACCAGCAAAATCCTTCGTTGACATATAAAAAATTTGAATTTGAACATCATAAAATCAAAGTTTTTACGTAATATAAATAATAAAATACAATTTTAATCATGCTTATGAAGACGTACGGAAACATTTAATACTTACTAAAGTGTATTTCGAAAAAATAATGACTGTTTTCGAATTGCCGACTATAAGTCGCAATACAGTAAAATGTGTCATATATGTGGTGTAAGCGACGCGTGCCACCCAGATCCAACCTTCCCACTCAAATATAGCCCGTAAGATTTCTGAAAATGTTTAGTTTCATTGTAATCATTGTCTGAGATATATACAAAACTGCACTAGAAAAACTACTTCTGGTATTCTGATTTATTCCTGTTTATAGTTAATCACGCCATGATACTTACTCTCAATTTTGAAGACCATTCCGACAATGCCTATTGCATAGATTGCCGAGAACAAAGGCCTCAACAGCATTTGGTGTAGAACTCGTAAGTACAATGGCAAGGCTGGCCCGTCACGGTAGTGGATACTACTTAGCATTATTAACCCAAAAATAGAAGGCAACAGCAGCCAGTATAGTACTTTGAACTTCTGCAAAAAAACCGTTTACTTTTATACAGAGTTAAATTTTATAGACGCTCTACTTTTAGAGTAATAATATATTTGTTACAGCATATATCCAATACAGCTTAACGGATC